TAGCACAGAGTAGGCATTCAAGAAACATTTGTTCATTCATTCAATAAACATCTGTTTAACATCTACTATATGGCAAGCACAGTGGCCCTGGAATATCAAGATGAATAAAGCATACCTCCTGCCATAGTGGATGGATGAATGGCAAATGGCAATCAAAACTCTTTCCCTAGAAAAGTTCTTCCTAGCTTGTGCTGCTTCTTGTTGGCCTTCTCTTTCATTTCTTGTGGGAGCTCTGGTGGCATAGTGCCTAAGGCATTTGACTGCTAACCATTCCTCAGAAGGAAGATTGGGCAATCTACTTCCGTAGTGATACCGCCTCAGAAACCCAAGGAGGGGTCACTCTGAGTCAAATCGACTCGACGGCAGTGAGTTTGGTTTTTTTCGTTCATTTCTTGTAGATCAAGTCTACAACATTTCAAGCAAAACACACTACAGATGCAGAACAATTTTACCCTGACCCAAAGCCAACCAGGAAATCACCACCAACAAGACCCTCATGGCCACAGTTTTCCACTCCCATCCTCCTCCCCATGGAATAAAGAGATGAGTGTTCAGGCGCTATCTTCAACACAGCAAAAAGCTAGAGCAAGCGCTAAAAAGCCTTCTCCCCCTCAGTCTATTCCTTCCATTTACCCTGGGAGCTCTGGTAGCATAGTGGCTAAGGCACTTGACTGCTAACCAGACGGCTGGCGGTTCAAACCCACTAGCCACTCCTCGGAAGGAAGGTTGGGCAATCCTGCTTCTGTAGTGATACTGCCTCAGAAACCCAAGGAGGGGTCGCTATGAGTCAGGTCTGACTCAACGGCACATAACAACCAACAACAACAAAGCTGACTATTGCCATGTCCTAACGGTCTCTGGTAGCATAGTGCCTAAGGCACTTGACTGCTAACCAGAAGGCTGGCGGTTCAAACCCACCAGCCACTCCTCGGAAGGAAGGTTGGGCAATCCTACTTCCGTAGTGATACTGCCTCGGAAACCCAAGGAGGGGTCGCTATGAGTCGGGGCCGACTCGACGGCAAATAACAACAACAACAACAACGGTCATAGAAGGGGTCACAGTACCCTCAAATCTTTCCCTAGGCAGTTGTCTCACTAAACCCTGACCATCCACCCAGGACATGGTAGTGGATATGCCTTGGTTGAGGTCCTCTGGTCTTAGAACCTAATGCCTGAGTCCCAACAGTGAGCTAAACCAAAATCACACAGAGCCACCACACTTCTTTGTTATATATTTTTAGAGATATTTGTATGTAGATAGATAGAAATGAATATAGATATACACACACACACACACATAAATAAACCCTTCTTTGTTATATCCTTTTGGATACTAGCAACAAGGTAGGGAATCTTCAGAAGTGTTGGAAAGAATTTTCTGGAACTAAGAGGACTGGATCCAGAGGAGAGGGCCTTGGTGAAAGGGAAGGGACCTTGCAAATATGATATTTACTTGGGAACTAAAAGTCTGAGCCAAACCAAGGGTGGGACTTGGTTTGGGCAGTGGGCATCTGAGCAGATGAACCAAATAAACTGAGGTAAAATGTTGCAAACCCACAGTTGGATCTTTAAGATGTGAGAAATGATTTCAGTTGGTTTTGGTTTGGAGACACAATTTATTTAGGGGAAGCAGGAGAATGTGAGGCCTCTAAAGGGGCAAGTAATGCAATCTGTGTCTCCATACTTTGCCTGAACACAGAAAGCTGACCAGAATCCAACTCAAAGGAGGTATAAGAAGGGTGTGCCTATTATATCAGAAGTGGATCCTCCCCACCCCAGGCCCCAAGTAATCCTTTTAGAGTAGCCAGCCAGCTCCAAGCCTATGAATCACAGCCTGGATCCACTCCCTTGGAGAGTTCTGGAACTAGGGGCCAATTTGATTTCTTTTCCTTTTTTAATGAAATCAGAGTTTTCTTATATAAATTTAAAAAACACTCAGCCACTTACCTGAAAATACAAACGTGTTTATTCAAGACACACACATATTTATACAATCTACACTCTGACTTTGTTGTGTAAAAATCATTCAATTTAACTGAGGTGACCCCAAGAGAAAAACCTATCAGTACCAACCAAGCAGCTGGCTCCTACCACACCTCCCTTGTTGTGGAGTGAGAAACTAGCCTATGGTCTTGCTTCTCACACTGACCCACCTCTACCTGCAAACTCCTGATGGTTGAAGTTGAAAAACCCCACCCCTGGTTCCAACTCTTGACTCCTCCTCTCCACCCTGCTGTGATGTGCCATTGAGTGGGACCCAACTCATAATGACCCCTCTTTGGGTTTCTGAGGCAGTATCACTACGGAAGTAGATTGCCCCAACCTTCCTTCCCAGGAGTGGCTGCTGGGTTTGAACCGCCAGCCTTCTGGTTAGCAGTAAAGTGCCTTAGGCACTATGTTACCAGAGCTCCCCCTCTCCACTCTAGGGACTCAGAAAAGAGCAAATTCAGCATTTTCCCAGGGAAAAGATGCAGTGGTGGGAAGAAGTCAAAGCCTAACTGGCTGCAGAGACTTCCTGTTCTGAACACATGCAGAGGTGAGCCCTCAGACAATGGGGAGACTAAAGCTGCTGAAGAATAGAGCCAGGGAGTGGCTGGTCCTGGCAGAGTGCCCTGAGATTAACCCTTTGCTGCTCTCCCCTTGCTTCCCAGAGCCGGGGCAGCTCTGAGCCTGGTCAAGGGCCGACCTTGGGCAAGATATGTGCCCTTCTGTCACCCCACAATAAGACTCGTGGACACTGCCCTGGAGGAACTGGAATCAGTTGTGTGATCAAAGGAAAGAGTGTGCTCTACATCTGCCATAAGAGGTATTCAGGTCAGGCCATGGACTACTTCCATAGTGATACAGCCTCGGAAACTCAAGGAAGGGGTGCTATGAGTCGGATCCAACTCAAAGGCAGTGAGTTTGGTTTGGTTTTGGTTTTGGTTTTGTTTTGATGGATGGGAGACAGCATTGGTGGTTCAGTGGTAAATTCTTACCTTCCATTCAGGAGACCCAGGTTTCATTCCTAGCCACTTAACCCATCCGTCAGTGGAGGTTTGTATGTTACTATGATGCTGAACAGATTGCAGCAGAACTTCCAGACTAAGACTGACTAGGAAGAAAGCCCTGGTGATCTGCTTGCAAAATTCAGCCAATGAAAATCCTATTGCTCACAATGGTCCAGTCTGCAATCAGTTGTGTAGATGGCACAAGACAGGTCAGGGTTTCATTCCATTGTGCATGGGGTCACCACAAGTCAGGCCAACTCAGTGGCAGCTAACAACAGCAATCACAACAGAGGGTGGGGAGCTGTGCAGTATTTCTCTGGAAAAGAGAAATCATGCTGCTCAGAGCATCTTGGGATTGGTCCCATATAGAAACAGGGTGACATCCAAAGCTATACCCACCCAGACCCCAACTCTGACTATCCTTTCCCCATTCTGCACTTCTTCAACCAGGATCTCTAGAACTGGCCTCAGGCAGGTAGCTTCACCTTCCAGTGTTCCAAAAGACCTGCCTTGCCACCCCACCCCCCATCCCCCATGCTCCCACCACTCAGGGATGACAACATAAACACAACCTTAGCCACAGCTGAGAAGATGGGTAGGGGAGCAAGCAGGAACACTCTATGAAAGCCACAAATTTTCACTCTGGAAAGCTTTGTTTGACCAGTGATATTTAGCCTTATGCATGGAGTTGAATGAAAATAAGGAGGCCTTCCATATATATAACAGAGCTAATAGAGGGCAAAGTTATGATAATTTATTGGCCACAGCCAAAAATAGGCCTATGGGGTGAACAGTTACATCAAGTAAGTACACTCCTTAAAATGGTTAACCATGGAAGATTAGGTGGGCAGCATTTGCACAGAGAGATAGCTCAGAAGGCAGGAATGTATAGGAAAGAAGGACACAGGGAAGGGCTAACTACAGGGAAGAAGTGGGAAGGCAGCTTTTGCATTGTAGGGATTGCAATCAATATCATGAAACAAAATGTTTATGAACTGTTGAGTGGAAAATAAATTTGCTCTGTAAACTTTCACCGAACTCAAAATAAAATAAAAGAAAAAAGTAGGTAGGACTTCCTGGACACTGAGAATAAACAGTCTCCACCTTACCTCTTGTTCTACAGTCAATTGAGCCCCCTTGACAACTTCTCCTCATACCAGTCATATATCCCCACACCTCCAGACTTAGATTCCTTCCCTAGAGGCTCCTCCCAGTCTCAGCATTGTGCTGGGGATGCCCCAGAATTGGGCATTCTATGTATAATTGTTGGGTGTCTCTTGAGTCTGTACATCTGCTCTGTAGGTAGGTCCTGGGCTCCAAACACTACTCTTCTCCTTCAGTGATCTGGGTACCTTAGAAGTAGGAGCTTGAGAAATTATCTGATAACTTTAATCTATATAGACATATCTTCTGGACCCAGCATCCACTTTCACCTGAATTATATGGATTTACAGGATTCTGGAGGCTTCTTCTCACAAAACAAAGACAATGCTCAAAATGAATGACAAAAGAGTTTTATTAAAGATTCACTAGGAGATGGATAGGGAGAATGAGAAGAGTTCAATAGGACACTGGGTGGTTCTTGTCTTGACCCTTCAGGTCCAGTTGATGCCACATGATGGAGAATGATTTTGGTCCTGATGTAGGGAGATATCCAGGATCTTGTTGGAGACAGCATTGGGCTAGAAGGGGACATATGTAACCCTGGTAATTTGGAGATGAAGCTCCTGGTTACTTTTCTCCTCTGTCCATAGGAAGTGACAGGTCAGCTGACACTCTTCTCATTCCAGGTGGACCTCCAGGCCAAATAGAGAAGAAGCCTCCAAATTTCAAAAGGGCAGAGCCCAAGCCCCAGCAGATAAAATCATCCAGGAACAGAGAGCACCCAGGGACAGTGGAGGTGACATTGGTCAGATGAGCCCCAGAGGGAATGTGAAGGCAGGGTGAAGGAAGCATAAAGACACCAAGACTGGGGCTGGCTGGGCTCCGAGGGCTGCAGGGACAACTTCTCTATCGGTGGGATCTCTTGGTCAGGTTGGTAGTACAGATCATCTTGCTGCCGGAACTGCCACAGACTCCACCACCAAACCCAAAACCACTTCCAGAGCCAGAGCCAAAGCCACAGCCACCTCCCAGGCCAAACCCTCCACCGATGCCTCCAGCACTGGCACCACCACCAACCACGGCTGTGGAGAGAGACAAAGGACATGGGTTATTCCAAAGTGCTGACAACTAGGGGACACAGCCCAAACCAAGGTGAACAAATGACCATGGCAGAGGCAGAAGTACTTACAGATGCTCACGGCACTCTGGCATTCTCCAGACATTCTGTTGGAGGAGAGAGAGAGAACAGTGAGTCACAGCAGGGCCCAAAGCCACACTCCACTCCATGTGCACATCTCGAGCATTTTCTACATGTGCTTACTATGCTTACAAGTTGTTTGATTTCCATCAGCCACCTTCTCTCATTTTCTTTCAGAAAGTCTTATCCCATCCTTGAATATCCAAATTTTAAGACCTGAGTATGATCTTGCTTGGTTCGTAATGTACCAGTATAATACTAAAGCAAGGATGGACCCAGCAGAGGCACAAATCCATGGCCCTAGACCTCCATCCCTCATGTTGCCTCCCCCCGCCCAAAATCCTACCATCCTTACCTGATCTCCTCGCCCTCCAGCAGCTTGCGGTAGGTGGCAATTTCAATGTCCAGGGCCAGCTTCACGCTCATGAGTTCCTGGTACTCGCGCAGCATCCGGGCCAGCTCCTCCTTGGCCTTCTGCAGGGCTGCCTCCAGCTCTGTCTGCTTGCCATGGGCATCTTTGAGGGCCACCTCCCCACGTTGCTCTGCATCAGCAACAGATGCCTGCAGAGTCTGGTTCTATGGACAAGAGCATTAGACAGACAATCCTCAGTGTTCTGCTTCCAAAGCCTCTACACTGTCTCCTCCCCTGGGTCAACTTTCTTTAAGTGAAGATATAAAAAATCTGTGCTGTCCCCATCTTCCTTGACTCTTATCCATTTAATTCACTCTAGCCAGAGCCCACCAATACCCCCCACCAAACTAAAGAGATGAAGATGTGCAAAAAACAACAAAGAAGAGCCAAGAAACCTTATGTATGTACTAGGGTGTCATACCCTGTTTTCTAAGATATTGCTGCAAAGATCTATACATGGCTTATGTAAAGAGCTAAAAATCCTCTGCCAACAAGGTCAGGGTCTTCTGGCCTGCTACTTTATCTGTTTGTCTGCTATGGAGACATCTACTTTAGACTCCTGGCCCTGTGCTTTGGTTGGAAGTGGATGACACTTACCTGCTTCTTGACATTCTCAATCTCTGCCCGCAACCTCTGGATCATCCGGTTGAGTTCTGAGATCTCACTCTTGGTGTTCTTCAGGCTGTCACCATGTTGGTCAACTGAAACCTGGAGCTGCTGTACCTAAAACCCAGGGAGACACAGGAGACCAAGAGTCAAGGATGTCACTGAATTCAGAGAGAATGGCCACATGTGGCAAAGATAATACAAAATATCAAGTAGTCCCAAGTCAAGCTAAGATCAGTGACACCTGGAAGAATCAGTTCATCTCTGACTTTTCTTCTCTTGGGTTTGATTGCTCACAGGTTACTCACAGAATCAAAAGTAAGGCCCTATAGACCATTCTCATCTCCTGAGACACCTCCAACACTCACCTTGGACTGGTAAAGGGCTTCAGCCTCAGCCTTGCTCTTCTGGGCAATCTCCTCATACTGAGCACGGACCTCAGCAATGATGCTGTCCAGGTCCAGGCAGCGGTTGTTGTCCATGGACAGCACCACAGACGTGTCACTGGTGCGGGTCTGCATCTGGGACAGCTCCTACAATGTAAATGTCTCACATCAGCACCCCAGGAGCGTTTTCTCTAACCTCTGACCCCAGAAATCTGCTGTTATCATGGAAATGGCCATGCCACAGGATAGGATGGGAGCAGAGTTGGCATTTACAGTGCACATAGGGGAGGGGGGTAAAAGTCTTTGCAGGAACCAAGTGGTTGGTGATATCTCAGGACAGAAAAGCAATTCCTCTAGTCTTTGCTGGTTACTGGAAACCAGGATACTCTATGTCTCATACAGTGAGTTTTCAGTATGTTGAACAGAAGGGAATGGAATGGATTCATTTCACCAGAAGAATATTAAGAGAGCAATAGATTCAAACCCCTGTAATCTTTAGATATAATCACTTCTAAGACAACATCTGACTCTGAGAACCCCCAGTGCAATCTCTCACTTGAACCCTTTCTATCCATGACTTTGCTGAGAACCCACTGCCCTGAAGTAAGGAAACTGGAGTCCTTTCAAATAATTGTGAATTCCACCCAGCAGCCTCTGAGGTAGAGGATTCCCTTTCCCTGAATGGAGTGGGGGCAGGATGGAGTCCTCACCGCATCATACAAGGCCTTCAAGAAGTTGATCTCATCATTAAGGGCTTCTGTCTTGGCCTCCAGATCCACCTTGTTCATGTATGCAGCATCCACATCCTGCAGGGGAGGATGAGGGATCACAGATAAGGAGCAGGAATCACAATGGGGGCTGGGTAGTAAGTGACACTTAAAGATGTTCTTAGCAACACCAAGTGAGAGGATGAGGAAAAAAACATTTGATATATTCTATCCCTAAATCCACCTACAGACATGAAAGTTAATTATCCAGATGAATTTTCTTCCTGGCATTAATTCTTTAGAACCTGGTTCTACAACCCACTTCCTTTGGGTACATTTATCTGTATGGCACTAAATGGAATGGAGATGAGGCAGAGATGGACCAAACCCACAATTCAAGCCAAAGACCACTCACAAAGCTGAGAGGTATCCTGAAAGCGATTTCCTAGCCTCACCCACCAGCCACTCCTTGGAAGGAAGATTGCGCAGTCAACTTCCATAGTAATACCACCTCAGAAGATGGGGTGGCTACAAGTACAATCAGACTCCACGGCAATGAGTTTGGTTTTGTTTTTTGGGTTTTTTTTTTTTTCATCTCTTACCTTCTGGAAGGAGCTCTGATAGCATAGTGCCTAAGGCATTTGACTGCTAACCAGAAGGCTGGCAGTTCAAACTCACCAGTCACTCCTTGGAAGGAAGATTGGGCAATCTACTTCCCTAGTGATACCACCTCAGAAACTCAAGGAAAGGTCGCTATGAGTCACATCCAACTTGACAGCAGTGAGTTTGGCTTTTTTTTTCCTTTTTTTTTTTTTACCTTCTTGAGGACCACAAAGTCATTCTCAGCAGCTGTGCGTTTATTGATCTCATCTTCATACCTGGAGTGGAGACAAGAAGAAAAGGAAACGTCCCATAGTGAGCTATTGTTTCCCAGATCTTTGGTGCTGATTTTCAAACATCTAGTTCTGCTGAAACATCCAGGTAATTGACTACACTTTCTCATGTTCATTTAGAGATTCGTTCAACCTTCATTTATTGAACAATTATTATGTACAAGGTGACAGTCTAGACCCTGGTTTGTTTGGAGACATGAAAACCAAACTTAAAGAGATTATTTTCAAGAGATAAGATGTTAGAAGAAGAACTTGTTTATTTATTTCCTTAGAAGGGTTATTCTTTCAGCCATTTGGTAGATTATTAAATTCTCAGAATTGTTGCCAACACTCCAGTTTCCTTCATTTGATGTGAGAGAAAATTGAGAGGGAAGCTTGGTATTTTCTCAACCTCATGCCATAGTAACCATAGTCACAGCTACTATGTATTGACTGTTCACTATATATCCAGACTATACTATGTGCTTTCTCTATCTCATTAATTTCACAACCTTATAAGGTAGGAATATTATCCCCATTTAAAGATGAAGAAAACTGAAGCTCAGAGAGGTTAAGCAACAACTTGTTGTTGTTGCTGTTATGTGCTGTGGAGTTGGACCCGACTCATAGCGACCCCTCCTTGGGTTTCCAAAGCAGTATCACTACGGAAGTAGATTACCCCATCTTCCTTCCGAGGAGTGGCTGGTGAGGTTGAACCACCAGCTTTCTGGTTAGCAGTCAAGTGCCTTAGGCACTACGCTACCAGAGCAACTAAGAAGGTCATATAGCTAGTAAGTGGAAGAATCGATATTTAAATCAGATCTACCTATCTCTACAAGCTGTATTCTTCTGACCATGTTATAGTTCTTTTGGTCTACTTGGTTTCTGAACTTGCTTTTATATGGCGAACCCAGCTCCCTGAATCTATCACTAATTTTTTGTTTGGGGCAACTCATGGATACTAAACCTCATTCTATTAAAGTGTGACTATGTGGACACAGGAAGCTCTGGTAACGTAGTGCCTAAGGCACTTGACTGCTAACCAGAAGGCTGGCAGTTCAAACCCATGAGCCACTCCTTGGAAGGAAGGTTGGGCAATCTACTTTCATAGTGATACCCTTGGAAACCCAGGAAGGGGTCTCTATGAGTCGGGTCCAACTCAATGGCACATAACAACAACAACAACAATATGGATGCAGGAGACTAGACTAGATGGTCTCCCTGAGCTCTTTGAGATCTCTTCAAAGCCTGGGATTCTAAGTCACTAGAGAGAAGCCCAGGGAGCCTGGGGCATTGTCAGGTAGATTTGTGTGTTAAATGGCATCCCGTCACTCCTCCCCCACATACTTGGTCTTAAAGTCTTCCACGCTGTCCTGCATGACCTTCAGCTCAGACTGAAGGCGACCTTTGTCATTGATCAAGCCATCCTGCTGCTTCCTCAGGACAGTAAGGTAGCTCTCAAAGAAGGGCTCAAGGTTTTTGCTGGATGTGGTAGTCGTCTGCTGCTGGAGGAGGTTCCATTTGGTCTCCAGAACCTTGTTCTGTTGTTCTAAGAACCGCACCTATGTTGAAAAAGACACCAGTCAACTGCCTAGGGGCTGAAGCCCTGGCAAGAGGGCCAGTCAGGGCCAACACCCACCCAGTCAATCCAAGCCAATGAGGCAGCCTGCTAGCCACCTCAGTAGAACCATCCATCATATTGCAACTCCAGGCCACCATTCTCTAGAGTCAACATGGTGACCCCACTCTTGACCCAGAAGCACCAAATGGACCATGGGTTTGGGAAAACAGAGCACAGGGTGTCAAAGCCTGACAATGCAGCAAGAACAACTTGCTAATAGCAGGGAGCCAAAGGCCTTGAGAGGACCTATTAGAGAAAAACATTGAACTTCTATGAAGTAATGAAATCATTAAATTAAATTAGGAAAAATAACCATAAACTAGAGACTACTGAATTCAAACTGATCTTGACCCAAGGCAAAGGAAAGATAAATTCATTAAGGATATTGTTTAAATAGCTTACTTATAAATGAATTTAGTGTGTCCCTGTGAACCTGTGTATAACTGAATCAAGGCCCTAGACCTAACTGAGTCTCAGTTCAATTCAAGGAGATTTCCCTGAATTTTCCCTTCCTGTATGGAAAAATAAACCAAGGTTTTGGCTTAGCATGACATTTCTACTTTATATGCTTCAGAATTGAAAAGAAAGCAGGTGAGGGTGACTAATCACATTTTAAACCAAAAAAAGGAGATGAGATGAAATGAGATAAGGAAGCACTTAAACCTTAGTCTTGTTTTCATACCAGTCATCACTAGAGTCACAATAAAGCCTATTTATGTGACTATGGGCTCATCTCACCCAGCAAGAACAAACATTCCCACTCAATCCAAGACTGTTGTTGCCCCATACATTTAAGAGCCCCGAGACATTGATGCATGGAGAACAGTGACAGCCTTAATCACAAGTGCTCCACTCATCTAGCCTGTCAGTGATTTTGGGGTGACTCAGCTCTCTGTCTTCCACCATACTTGACTGCAATTGAACTCAAAGTTCTCAAAAAAGTTCTAGAATTATCATGAAGAAGGAAGTTGAGATATAAAAAGAAAGGAGGACTATCCCCTTCTGTCTTTGAACAGATTCAGAAGTAAATTTTGCCCTGAAGCAGAGACATGAAAAGGGTGATCTTGCGGTATCTTGATGAGACGTAGATCCACCACTGGAGTCATATGAACTCCTTCAATGGTCGGGTGGTCCTGGCTTTGCCGTCAGCCCCCTGGAGTCCCTGTCTTATGAAAAACCAGTTTGGTGTTCTTCTGTCCCAGTACACAGTTTAGTTATTACCATGTTTCTACACAAATAATATGCACCTTCTAAGTTTGTTTGCCAACTGCTCCCTCCCTTCAGGAGGTACTATTTTGCAAGCACCACAGAGCTGATTTTATATTATATGCTGCTGAAATTAATTTATATAATTATATAATGGAGTTGACTGGGTTGTTCTCAAAACTAAATTCTGAGAAAAAGCAGGGATATAGTGATCCTGCTTTATAGCTGGGGTGACCAGAGCAAGATAAGGTGAATAATTTGCCTAGTAGTATGCAGCATATGCAGGAGCTCTGGTAGCATAGTGCCTAAGGCATTTGACTATTAACCAGAAGGTTGGCGATTCAAACCCACAAGCCATTCCTGGGAAGGAAGATGCGGTGATCTACTTCCATAGTGATATTGCCTTGGAAACCCAAGGAAGGGTCGCTATGAGTCTAGACTGACACGACAGCAGTGAGTTATGCAGCATATTCAGAAATACCAAATATTTAACTGCTTTGAGCATCTTATCTTCCCATTAGCCATGGGACATTACTCAGTAATGATGCCTCCTTTACAGCTAGAAAACAGAGGTCCAGAGAAGTTAAGTGTTTTCCCAGTGCCCATGGCAGGCTCAGATCTGAGGTCTCAGGGCTCTAGAACCCTAGCTTCTACCAACATTTTCTGGCTGAGGAGACAGCTCACCTTGTCAATGAAGGAGGCAAACTTGTTGTTGAGGGTCATAATTTGTTCCCGCTCCTCAGTCCGGACCTTCTGGATCTCCGGGTCTATCTCCACATGGAGTGGGGTCAGCAGGCTCTGGTTGATGGTGACCTCCTGAATCCCCCCAGCGGGGCAGGCAGGAAAGCCAGGACCACCCCGACCAGTGAAGGAGCCCCCAAATCCACCGCCAAAGCTGCCAGCACCAAAACCAGCACCAAAGCCACCAACTCCAACACCTCCTGCATACCCAAAGCCAGCGCCTTGCTGGGAGCCAGCCACACTCATGGAGATGCTCTTGTTCCCCCCGAGGTTGTAGAGACTCTTGCTGCCGAAGCCCCCAGAAGAGCAGCGGCCCGCACCTCCAGACACAGAGACAGAGCTGAAGGTAGCCCTTCTGCCCCCACCCACAACGGCAGAGCCACAGCTGAAGCCCCGAGACCCGCCTCGGACACCCTGCTGTCTGCAGATCATGGCTGGAGAGAAGTGAGCAAGCTCAGAGGTATCAAAGAGAAGCGAGAGGGACCAGGCCAGTGAATGCCAGAGCCCTCAGCCTGGGTCTCTTATATGTGCTGGAGCAGAAGGGCTTGGTAACAGGGGCATAAAGGGAAACATCTGAAACATCTCTGGGCTGGGCCTTTGGCACTGGCCCATCCTTCTCGCAGCTGCTGAGCATGTCACTAAACACACCTACAGAAGTCATTTGGAGGGCACAGGTTACTGGATCCCATCACACTCCCCTCCGGGAGAACCTGAATTGGTGCCCCAGGGCCTCCTGGATCAGAAGGCCCTGCCTGGGCCCAGTCCTCCAGGCCTCCCACCCACTGTACCTCCATCTCACCAGCCCAATGACTGCCTTCTTGTTCCAGACCACACAACGTATCACCAGTTTTTTTCACGCCTGGGTTCAAGTGCACAGCCTGAGTTCAAGTGCACTGCTTGCCACTTAGCAGTTCTGTAAGCCTTGAGCAAGTCACTCTCTGAAGCTTAGTGGCTTCATCCATAAATTGGAAATAATGCAAACATTTACCTTCATCACATTTCAGAATACCTTGAGATAATGATTAATGATGTGTTTGTAAGCTGTTAGAAGCTGGGCATATATGTGTTGTTATTATTATCATTATTATTCTTCCAGACTCACAATTGACCCACATACACACACCAAAAGGGAAATCTTCCACATTCCAGTCTATAACCTTCTAAACATAGATCAAGACTCACTTCAATGTGACAAACAATTATTAAGACTCTACTATGTGCTAGGCATGGTGCTAAGTGCTTAATACACAAAAGTGAAAGGCAATCTAAAGGGGAAAAATGCCTAAAGACCCACTAATCATGAAAACCCCGACTCTGTCCCAGACCCTCAGGACTCCCACTTTCTCTCAGGTATGTGTCCACACAGTTCTCTGGGCATGTCCTAACTACTGCTCCTCCTGCTCCGTGGGCTGCCCAGCTGTTTGCATTCTGTTTTTTCAGCATTCAGGGCAGGAGTTTATGACTTTTTGGTGCTAGGAACTCCTCTGGTGGTCTGATGAAATATCTGGCCGCCTTCTTAGAGTAATGCTTTTAAATGCAAAATCCTCATTACACACCCTCAATTAACTTCTTCCCCACTGAGTGCAACAGATCTGTGTTCAAATCCCACCTCTGCCACTTTCTAGCTGTGCACTCTTGAGCAGAGGTCACCTAACCTCCCTGAACCCCTTCATTCATCTATAAAATGGGCCCTCCTGCCACATAGGTAGTGAGACAATGTACCTTTAGCATCTGGCACATAGTAGGTCATACAGTGTTTGTACACACAGTTCCTGGCACACAGTAGGCTTCATTTTCTTCCTGCCAAGGTTTTGTCATTGATATTTATAAGGAGAAGTTGGTGAATTGGTGTTCTCCTAGCCTCCCTCAGTCTCTCGTAAGGAACTCTCAATTTTGGCAAAGATCCTAAATCTGAGCAATAGCAGTGACCAGGGCCCAGATTATTCCCACAGGCCCAAGCTGACCCCAAATGAAAAGTGGCCACAGCAAAACTAAATGGTTTGCTCAATACAAAGGGAAAGGGCAGGGACCCTGGGTGAGAAGAGCCTGGGGGAGGCCTCAAGGACAAGGTGTGTGGAAGGCCAAGCTGGCTGGAGCTCTCAGCCTTTGCCAACTCCTTCTCTCTCCCCTCCCCCATCCTCTTCCTCTCCCCGCCCAGTCTCTCTTTACTCCTACCTCTCATCTGTACCCCACCCTTTTAGCCATCTACCTCAGCCTTTGCTGAGCTCTCTCTGTCCCTGTCCAGGTGGCCTCTAAGCAAATGGAGGGCAGGTGAAGTGCTGTGGTGGTGAGAATAGGAGGAACCTCAGACCCATCGAAGGCCCACGGGAGAAAGCACAAGGACTCACCTGTAATAAGAGAGCATTCTAGAGCCAGCACCATGTCCTCAAGTAGAAAGGGTTGACCATCCAGTGCATACTGATTGAGCACGAGCTTTATGCTAGGCACCGCGCTAGGTGCTTTACATACACTTTATCATTTAATCTTCATAAGGCTCTATGCAGTATTATAAGCCTTGCTTACAGATGACCACTTGGAAGCTCACAGAGATAAGGTAGTTCTCAGGGTCATAAGTAGCATATGATGGAGCTGGGACTTGAACCCACATCAGCATCGTCCCAAAGGCTCTTCACTCTACAATTTTGCACCCCTACCATTCTGTCTGGTATCAGGTCAGCAGTTTAATTTGTGTAGCAGGCCAATCCAGAATTGAGCACCTAAGCAAACCTGACCAAATGGACTGTTCAAGTCAAGGGGGTTTTTCAGGCACTGATGTCACAGGAGCTTCTTATATCCATCCTGGTGGCAGGAAGGGGCATGGCTAGGAAGGAAAATAAAGTTACTCCAAGTCTGGACTCACAGACTGGGAACTGCAGCTGCTGGAGCAGAGGAGACCGTGATCCACCACCTATGGAGCTAAAGTCCTATTTTCTAGTTTCCTGTCCCAAGCAGAGATAGGGGGCTCACCAAGTTCTCTGCCTCATGAGACACCGGAGCCCAGACCCCTGGCTGCCTCACCTTGGTTTTTGTTTCTCACACTCACAGCACCATTCCCCCATTTGCCCTGAAGATTGTATTAGGAACTTTTGAGTTCAGAAGAGAATTTGCATCAGCAGAGTTGAAGTCCAAGGGCACTTGGGACATTTTCGTTGCTTCTTGTCTTCATTGGCTGCAATACTGCAATACTAGGAGAAAGCTTTGTTGTATGCTGAACCTAGAATTATGTCCAGTGCATGAAACAAGATGCTTGCACAGGGGATTAGGGGGTTGTGCATTCCTGCAGGATAATGTGTAATATATAATCAATCTTATTTTGTGCCTATGGTGCACGCAGACTATGGAGGCCATAATTGAGGTACTTCTCTATGCAGATAAGTCTTAATTGAGACATAAGTCGTCTCTGAGACATGAAGTAAAATGAGGGAAAGGCTGTAATGCTTCTCGGGTAGAAGGGATTCTCATTTAGAGAGAGCACATATGTCAGACACAGAGCAGAGTGCTTTTCTTATAACAGCTCCATTCCTCACTGTCACCCTGCAAGAGAAGTATTGCTATTGTCATTTACAAGTTATGGAGGTGCAAACACTGAGGCTCAGAGAGGTTATGTAACTTGCCTAAATTCACACAGCTGGTAAGTGGTGGAGGTAGGACGCCAGTCCTGTCTGTTTGACTTCAAAATATGTAATCTTAACCTCTACATCACAATGCCTTATCTTAGTGATTCTTCTCCACACAGAGCTGCAGAAAATAAAAGAAAAAAAAAATCCATGGCAACTTATCCAGACCCTCAGCTTATAGTCACCAGAACAGCGACAGGGTCTTGGCCAGCACACTACATATTCTGCAGAGGTGGCTCAGCTACTTTCTGTCCTTGCTTTCATCATATGATTGGCTTTTTGATTTATGCAGCCCTGTCCTTTATCCAGGTTCCTGGGTGGCACATATGGTTTGTATTCTGTTAGTAACCAAAAGGTCAGTGGCTCAAATCTACCTGCAGCTTCAATGAAGAAAGGCCTGGTGATTTATTTCCATAACATTACAGCCACTGAAAACCCTTAGGAACACGGTTCTACTCTGAAACACGTGGGGTCACCATGTGTTGGAATTGACTTAATGGGCGATAGATCTGGTTTGGGTTTGACCTTTATACACATGGGATTGCCATGGTCAGAATCAACTCCATAGCAACTGGTTTGGTTTTCAGTCCTTTACAAGGACCCAGTAAGGTATGACACTGTCCTGTGGGGCCGATTCTGTGTTCTCCAATTAACTAAATCCAAATTAATTTAATTATAAATCCTATAACAAACCCACAACCAACATAAGAAAGTTCTAGTCCACAGCCATATCCTGTGACCTTATTATTAAATCAGAATTGGCAGAAGTTCACAAAATCCCCAAACTGTAGCATGAGTAAGTAGACTTAAGGAAGAACTTCTTATGCAAGAGAGATTTTACCCCAAAAAGTGAGAAAAACATAGGAAAGAGTTTCTTTTCCTACAAATGAGAAAGCTCCCTCCTACCTATCTGGGTCTTCCAGAGGCAAGGGATTGGACAGGGTGACTGTCTGACAGCAACAGCATCACAAAGCTGATCTCTACACTCCCTGCAGCTTTTGCTATTGTACTCCATGACCCTTCCTCACTTGGCAGCTGTTCCAATCTTGTCAAAGAGGGATGAACAGCTGACAGGGGTGTGGAGCAGGGGGAGGAGAGTGTGTTTGCTTAGGGCTTTCTGGGTGGGGGAGGCAAGCTCTCACATTCAGCCCTAGGATTACAGAGATTCCAAGGTCTTTTTTCAGCCTGGGTCCTAAACACATGTGTGGTGTGGGAAAACGCCCTCCCTGGTCAGGCCCATGCCCTCGCCCCATTCAGTCACCTCAGCCTTGGTTGCCCTGCTGTGCCTGAGTCACTCTTTGGGGAGCCAGAGCCAATTTGGGGATCAGAGATTCTGCTGCAAAAGACCAGTCAGCATTTCAGGAAGGAACGAGAGGGCAGTGAGAGAAGGAGGATTACTCAGAAGCAGGGTGAGGGTCTGTGCACAGGGTCTCCCCTTTCCTAGGGGTAGAAAATAACCTCTCCTGGTTTCCCACCTGGACAAGTGCAAGTAGGAGTTTTCCAATATGTTTTGGTAGCAAAACCGTTCTAATGATCACATGCACAGCCCCATTTGTAAAATAAATAAAAGGAGAGATGCTCTGAGGAAGGGGCTGTGAACACTCCCACCAGCTGACCTCCCCTCTAACTAACAGAAGCAGCCTCTGGGGTCTTCGGGCGCCAAGAACTCAATGTGGAAATCCCAGGGAATAGCCAGGCTAATCCCGACTTTCAGTATGTATTTCTAAGTACCACATTCACTATCAGTAGGTCCTCCTGACACGTTATGAAATCATTAAGTTTTATTAAAACTATCATTGTTTAATTTTTAAGCCCTAAATCTAATTTCAGTGGAAACAAATTTTTATTTTTCACTCTGCCATTAGCTTCTTGTGGCTTTTGGGCAAGTTCTTCCTCTCCCTGGACCTCAGTTTTCTCATCTATGAAATGAAAAGTTTGCCTCCATCGTCCCTTCCAGCTCCACCCCTCCTACATCTCTGTCTTCTTCTGTACAAAAAAGCTCTGGTGGCACAGTGGTTAAGTGCTTGGATAGATTTGAGCCCTGCCAGCTGAAAGATCGGGCCGACTCGACGGCACATAACAACAACAACAACAAGCTGAAAGATCGGTAGGTCAGTAGTTTGAACCCATCAGCACCTCCAGAGGAGAAAGATGTCTGAACCGCCAGCCTGCTGGTTAGCAGTCAAATGCCTTAGACACTATGCCACCAGAGCTCCCTTCATAAAGATTACAGCATTGGAAATAAGTCCTATAGAGCACTATGAGTTGCAATCCACTCAACAGCAATGGGTTTGGGGTTCTTTCAGTTTGGTTTGTTTTTTTGGTGTTTTTCTATACAAGATGCATATCCCATTAATTATGATGAATGTGAATTCCCAAACCAGACAGGCTTGAATTCCAAGCCAAGCTCTACAACTTACTAGCTGTGTGACCTTACATTGCTTATTTAATCATTCTGTGGCTCAGTTTCCTCATCTGCAAATGCCACATATCACAGGCTATTGTGATGATTACATGAGTTGAAGTATTGATAGCAGCGCCGGCTCACAGCAAACACTCAGTAAGCATTAGCTATCACTCCTATTGCACATTGAGGGTAGTCTACACTTCATCCACTGCCCCCCAGCCCAGATGCCTGAGAGGGGAAGCCACTCTGTAAGTGGGATTGCTTCCTGAATCTGAGGATCACTCAGATTGGTGAGGTGGAGCTGATTTTGCTAAGCACTAAATGTTCCTGAGGAACTCTGATAGCGTAGTGCCTAAGACATTTGACTGTTAACCAGAAGGCTGGCGGTTCAAATCCACCAGCCACTCCTTGGAAGGAAGTTTGGGCAATCTACTTCCGTAGTGATTCCACCTCAGAAAACCAAGCAGGGGTTGCAATGAGTCGGACCTGACTTGATGACAGTGAGTTTTAAATGTTCCTGAACTGTGGTTTATGGTTTGAGTCAAAATCCCTCTGCTGACATGCCCACAGTTCCTGGGAATGCAAATTGTTAATGTGCTCAACTGCTAAATGAAAGGTTATTGGATTGGGTCCACCCAGAGCACCTTGGAAGAAAAGCCTGGCACTCTATTTATGAAAAATCAGTCACTGAAAACCCTATGGAGCACCCTATTCCTGACACACATGGGGTCACCATCAGTCAGAATTGACTCGATAGCAACTGGTTTGATAGTCCCATAACTCTGGCAGGAGCTCTCACAGGCCTTTTCTGGGCTCTTTGGAGGAAAACTGAGTAGCCAGGCTGAAAGAATGGAGGGAACATCAAAGAGGATCCATTCCAACATTATCCAGGAGTAACCTGTGCTAGGGAGCTCTGGTAGCGTAGTGGCTATGGCATTTGACTGTTAACCAGAAGGTTGGTGGTTCAAACCCACCAGCCACTCCTTGGAAGGAAGATGGGGCAATCTACTTTCGTAGTGATATTGCCTCGGAAACCCAAGGAGGGGGTCGCTATGAGTTGGGTCTGACTCGATGGCACATAACAACAACAACAACCTGTGCTAAGGAAAGGAAGAACTTGAGGAAAGCCTTGATTTAGGCAGATTAATTTGGTCACGAGGTCTGGGAGTATGGAAGTATGGGAAAGACAAGAAAAGGAAGTCAGCCAATTGGGGAATTACTTGAGTTTAAGGTATAGAATGGGATCCAGGCTCAAGATGGGGACTGTTGAGATGAAGAGGAAAAAGGTGGTGCAGTGTTTAAATGCTCAGCTGCTAACCAAAAGTTGATGATTCAAACCCACCAGCCACTCTGTGGAAGAAAGATGTGACAGTCTGCTTCCATAAAGATTGCAGCCTTGGAAATGGGTATGAGACAGTGCTACCTTGTCTTATAGGGTCACTGTGAGTTGGGATCAACACAACAGCAATGAGCTGGGTTTGCGGTTTAGAGTCGTTGAAGGCAATGAGTTACCATGCTTAGTTAGCATGGTGCTTGGGACACAGTGAGTGTGTGGTTGTGCTGGTGGTATTTGTTGCTGCCTCAACAATCAAGGAGTTAATCACCTAACACAATTCCAGTTCCCCAGGAAGGACAGACTCTGGAGCCACAGAGAGCTAGCTGTAGTTGCTGTTTATTGAGACATAGGCACAGACAGAGGAGGGAGGTGTGGGTAGATTCAGGGTAGAGGTCTGGTGAGAGACTGGGGAGGTTGAAGGGCCTTTGGGGGACCATTCTCAATTTGTCTCTCCTCCCTCAGCCTACCCTGAGCTCAGAGTAGATAAGCCAAGAGGAAGAAGCCAAGATGGCCTGGGAAAGCCAGCCTCCGCTCAATAGTCTAAAGGTGTCCGCTTCCCCCCGTCACCAAACTCCTCACTCAAGCTGGTGACTAACCTCCCCTTCCGTCCCATTGAAGAACCAAGGAGAAAACCTGGATAGATTTGAGCCCTTCCTCAAATGTAAATTACATACAAATAGTCTAGCATGCAAATACATGACATCTTTGGTCCTCTGTGCTATTCCTGTTCCTGAGGATTATGGGGGCAGAGTAGCAGAGGTGGGTGAGTGGGGCAGAGAGAGGCTTGCAGGGTTCCCGGCTTACAAGGCTCAGCAGCTAATACTTCTGGTTCGACATCTTGAGTGTGGTGGTCTTCCGCAGGACAGAGGTGCCCCCAGAGACAGTGCCCCCCTTGGTAGAGCAGTAGCCCACACTGGTGCTGAAACCACCTTTGATGCCTCCCCCACCCCCACCCCGGGAGATACCTCCCCCGATGCCAGCTGAGCCACCTCCGCTCACAGTGGTAGAGTTGCCAGTCACAGCTGCAAGGCAAAGGGACCAGGTTAGGCAGGCCAGCTGTGCCTGGAGAGGGTCAGATGGCATCCAGGAGTCAGTGAAGAGTGGAAAGGAAAGCAAGCAGGGAACCAAGGGAAGCAGAGGATCCAGGGGCAGGAATTGCATTCTCTGGGACCCCCCTGAACCTGCCCCAGAAGCACCCATGGAGGGAAGTGTGCTTGAGGCCAAGGACAGGTTGAATGAACTGAGCACAGGACTAGAGCCAGGCCAGGGGCAGGGCAGGCCCAGGCAGCAGAATACTCACAAATGCTAACTGCACTCTGACATTCTCCAGACATCCTGCAGGAAATAGAAAGGCCAAGAGAGGGGTCAGTGGTCCTAAGAACCCAAGCGAAAGCCCTTTCCTTCCCTCTGCCTTTGCGTTGGGTCAACTTGGTAAGTCAACTCTCGAGAGCCAAGGCCCAGAGCGCAACATTGGAAGATAATGATAAGTGTACACATGTGCTGTGGTCCATACATACAGGAGAATATTACTCAGCCATAAAGAGAGATGAAGTCCAGATACATGACCTAGATAAATGCTGAACACATTGTGCTAAGGGAACTAAGCCAGACACATTTATGTGAAATATCTAGAATAGGTATATACATAGAGACCAAAGGTATTGGTAGTTACCAGGGGCTGACTCATGATAACACCATGAGTGTCAGAGCAGAGCTGTGCTCCATAGAGTTTTTAATGGCTGATTTTTTGGATGTAGATTGCCAGGGCTTTCTTCCAAGGCACCTCTGGGTGCACTTGAGCCTCTTATCTTTCAGTTAGCAGCTGAACATGTTAACTATTTGCACCACCGAGGGACGGGAGGAGGAGACAATGGGGAGTTATTGATTAATGGGTACTGAGTTTCCACTTGTAGTGATGAAAAACTTTTAGAAATAAATAGTGGTGATTGGTGCATAACACTGTGGATGTAGTTAATGCTACTGACTGTATACTTAAAATATTAAAATGGCAAATTTTATATTATATGTATTTTACCACAATAACAAAAAAAAAAGAGTGGATGTGCTCATGCTTGAACTCATGACCCTTCTACCAGGTCCTAAAGCTGTGGAGGAAGCAGAGCTCCAGCAGGTCATGCCACTCATGTCCCCCACCCCATCCCCGCTCCCTGTGGGCCATGGATAGCATTCCCGCTCAGAGGGAAACAAAGCCTCCGCCACAAAAAGCTACCCAGGTTCTCACTAAAGTAATTTTCTCTCCCACTCTTGCCTTCCTCAAAGAGAAAAAAAAAAACATCATGTTGATTCTGACTCATGGCAACCCCACGTGTTACAGAGTAGACCTGCTCCAAAGGGTTTTCTTGGCTGTTATCTTAATGGAAGCAGATTGCCATGCCTGTCTTCTATGATGTCACTGGGTAAGTTCAAACTGCCAACCTTTAGGTTAGTAGTAGAGCACAAATCACTTGTGCCACCCAGGATCAAAACTTCCACTGATGGTGGAATTTGATGCTGCAAGAGAGATCTCCTACATCTTCCCATGCTCGTTTGGTTGCTGGTGACCATACATACAGCTTAACAGTACAATGACTGTGCCAATCAAGAAGAACAAACAGAGGCAGGTGCAGTAGGCACAAGTTGGAGATCACCCTCAGCTGATGAGTTAGGAGCCCAGCCTCCTGGTCTCCTCCCTTGCCTCCCCTGCCCCAACCGTTAGACTACACAAGCTCTTTCACCAGACAGCACAGAGAAGGCCCTATAAATTGAGGGAGGTGAGGCCACCCACCGACTCTCCTCGCCCTCCAGGAGGGTACGGTAGGTGGCGATCTCCATGTCCAGGGCCAGCTTGACATTCATCAAGGCCTGGTAGTCACGCAACAGCCTTGCCAGGTCCTCTTTAGCCTGATGCAGGGCCACATCCATGTCTCTAAACTTCTTCTGAGCATCCTTGAGCGCCAGCTCCCCACGCTGCTCTGCTTCTGTGATGTCTGTCTGCAGCTGCTGGCACTGCACAGGGGGTAAGACAGGTTGGAAACATCCTCCAGAATCATCCCCTCCATCACTCCGCCCTCAAGCCAGGCACTACCATCCCTACCCCCTTTGCCCCAACCAAATGGGAAAAAAAGGAAGGAGAAATATTCATCTGAAAGAGGAGATGCTATTACATAAGCAGGATCATGTAGCACCACTGGGAAAGTCCTACTGAAGTCTAATTTCGATCCCTCCTATTGTACCTCAGTTCAGTGCCTTAGAAAAGATTTTTTTAAATATTGCAACAATCTCATTGCTAACCAAATGCACACCCTGATCTGGGGAGGTGTCCAGATTTTTTAACTATATCCTACATGGAGTCAGCATCTGTGACCTGGATCCTTGAACCCTCAGCCTCTTGGTCTGACCTCCTGGAGATGGGCCCAGTTCCCTTGAAGGAGGTCATCCTACCTGCTCTATCACTTATATGCTATGTGACCTTGGACAAGTCTGGTCCCCTATCTAGGCTTTTGCCCATGTAATTGGTGAGTGTTGATCTTGATAGCACAATGTTTGAATGTGTCTTATCCATCAGAAAAACAAGTCTTGCCCATCAGGATGATGATGAGAAGGTCCCGCCTCCCCCACCAGCCTCCAGGTCTGATCCCAGGCCTTCAGGCCAAGACCCACCTGCTTTTTGGTTGCATCCACCTCACCCTGCAGCCTCTGAACAGTACGGGTGAGCTCAGCAATCTCATTCTTGGTGTCCCGCAGGCTGTCCCCGTGCTTGCCAGCCGTCACCTGCAGCTCCTCATACTGGAGGCCAAAGCCATGATCGTGAGGTTTCACATAGTTACTGGGCCACATGCAAAGTACTAACCCCAAGCCTGCCCTCAAGGCTGGAGGCCCCTCTAAGGGGCCTAGAGACTCAGGTCTCTCACAATAGAAAAAGGTTTGGGTCCAGCCCTGGCCCAGATACCTAAACCAGGCATTCTCCTCACCTTGGTCTGATACCAGGCCTCAGCCTCAGCCCGGCTCCTCTGAGCAATCAGCTCATACTGGGCTTTGACCTCGGCGATGATGCTGTCCAGGTCCAAGTTGCGGTTGTTGTCCATGGACAGGATCACATTGGTGTCAGATACGTGGGTCTGCACTTGGCTCAACTCCTGCAGAAACAGAAATAACTGCCACCTGCACCCCTGCCCCTGGTCATAAAAGGGATGTCATAAAAGGACGGAGGAGAAAGGGCCCCCAGGCAGCGTCAAGAGGCCTGTGCTCTTCTCCAGGCTCCACCCTAGAAGGAGACCTGCAACTGCAAGGAAAAAGCCTCAGTCTTCTCAGCTGTGAAATGGGGCTCCCATTTTTCTAGACTTCATTTCTCTTTGTGGATTTGCAGGCTTTCAAGAGATTAAAGGGGAAAGGGCATGCACATTACAACAGGAGGCACTGTGCTAGCTCCCCTTTAATCCTCAGCACACTCTGCAAGGCAAGCAGAGCCACAACTTTTGTGCAAAGTGGAATAAAGGGCCTACCAGGAGGAGGCAACCTGCTCCAGGGCCTGGGGAGCTGAGTGTGGGCCAGATTCCAGCCCCACTCAGACGGTTAACAACCTGCACCTCTGTTCAAATGTTCCTGAGGGTAGGTATTTATTATCCTTGTTTTGTAAATGAGGAAACAAGCTCAGAGAAGAGGAGTAACAGAGGCGGGGCAAGATGGCGGACTAGGCAGAAGGATTGCACAGACCCTCTTCAACAAAGAAAAGGGAAACCAATTAACACAGACACAGAAGATAATCTT